AATTCATATGTATCATTTAAGGTCAAGTTCAAGAGCCATGTCTATCGTGTACCTTTCCCTAAGAATGCCATCCATTACTGGTCTTCCTTATTTTAGAACTTATTCAATAATTACTCACTTAATAGTTACATACTGGGAGGAGTGATGGTCCTTTATGTTAGTTTGCTGCGGTTACCATAATAAAGTACCACAGACTGGGAGGCTTAAACAACAGAAATTTATATGCTCACAGTCCCGGAGATTAGAAGTTGATGATCAAGATGTTAGAGGGTTTGGTTTCTCCTGTGGCTTCTCTGCCTGGCTTGCAGATGGACTCCTTCTTGTTGTGTCTTTCCTCTGTGTGTGTGCATCCCTGGTGTCTCTTTGTGTGTCCAAATTTCCTGTTCTTATAAGAACATCAGTCAGATTGGATTAGGACCCACCCAAATGGCCTCATTTTAACTTGATCATCTCTTTAAGGGCCCTATCTCCAAATACAGTCACATTGTGAAGTACTGAGGGTGAAGGCTTCAACATATGAATTTTAGGAAGACATAATTCAGCCCATAACACGAGTGGAGATAAGGGCTGAACAAGACATATGTGATCCTGGTCCTTTTGTTGTTTGACAGCCTGGTAGAGAAGTCATATATTAAACAACAATTTCCATGAATACATAATTAATTACCATTGTTAGATGGTCCAAGAAGTAGAACACAGGGTACTTGAAAAGGTAGTCTGGTATTGGGGGGTTGATCAGGAAAGGCCTCCCTGAGGAAGTGAGAAATGTAGGAAGGGTGGATGGGAGTCAGCCAGGTAAAGGGGGAGGTGGAGCATTCATTCTAAACAGAAATCGGCCTTTGTGAGTTCCAAGTAATGGGAAAGAACATGATGTATTTGAGCAATTGAGCAATCCAGTGTGACAAGGAGTGAGCGGTGGAAAGGCACCAGCAGATCAAAAGGGTCAGATTACACTGGATAGTATGTCTTGACATCTTCATTTCAGTGCTGACTACATCCTGCCCTGGACTGTTTTAAATTTTTGTGTGTGTGGGAGGGGTGGCATGCATGTTTTACTCCTCCCTATGTTCCTTTAGGGAGGAGATCCTTTCAACTCCTGTATATGTTGCACAGTGTGCAGCAGAGGGCTGGGAATATAGTAGGTGCTCAATAAGTAAATTAAGTGGGTGCAATAAGAAATGAGATTGAGAGAAACACTTTTATTTGTCTAAATTGGGGGTTGACCCAATCTTGGTGGATGTGTGATTCTAATAGGGGAGGACTTTTGATAGTATGATGCCACCTAGTGCTCCTTTGCATTACAACAACAAAGGGGAGCAGCGTGGTGAGTATTCTTCAGTGATCTGAAAAATTAGAAACAAAGCATTTTCTTTCGTCAGCATAAATTAATTAGTCCAACCCCCGCCCCCCGCCCGTGCTCATCCATTCATTCATCCATGCTGATGTCCACCTGCATGTCTTTCTTGTCAGTTGAATATGTCACATTCCTTTCCACTTCCTGTGGTTCCTGACTTCCCATGTCCTCTGGTCTTTCTTTCCTCACCTCATAAGTAACTCTCTCAAGTATCAGTGTTTAGATTCTCTGAGCACCCCTAATGCTCTCTGTTGACAAGGCACGTTCTGAATGACACCATCATGTTATGTTAGGATTTATTGTAGATTTTCCTTTCTTTCTTTCCTCCAGTGCAGAGGGCAATGATTCTGCCTTACTCACCTCTGTGGTTCCTGTGCCAGCCTTGTGCCAGGTACTTAAAAAATGTGTTTTCTGGATTGAATTATTGTCACCTTGGCAGGCCACCTGCTTGTGCAATGGTCCTTTAGGAGATTTCTAGAAAATGAGAGCCTCACAATTGACACCAATACAGGGCCCTCTAGGTTATTCTGCCATGTTATGTACCTTCAGGAATGGCATGGAGTGTCTCTAGATCGGCGGTTCTCAACCTTCCTAATGCCGCGACCCCTTAATACACTTCCTCATGTTGTGGTGACCCCCAACCATAAAATTATTTTCGTTGCTACTCTATAACTGTAATTTTGCTACTGTTATGAACGTAATGTAAATATCTTTTTGCTTTCTGATGGTCTTAGGCGACCCCTGTGAAAGGGTT